ATTTGGATTCTTTACGGTGAAGATTCAGGAGCAGAAGAAGCATGAAGGAGGGAGCAGGACAGAGGAACAACAGATCTGCACAGGAGATGGAATGATGGCAATGGTCAATCGACACAACACACCACACAGCCTTAACGGTATCACTGTTATTATTACTAGAGTAGCAGCACGTCCTTGATCAAGCTGATGCTGACAGCTAAGGTACTCAAGGTCAGCTTCAAGGTACTGTAATTCAAACTCCAAGCAAAAACAGAGAAAGATATTGGAGTATGTACTGCATGGTACAAGTCACTGAGATCTTCAAGATATCCATTATCATTACTGAAAGAAACAGGACCTTTTGTAACAGCTCTGATTGGCTGACACATAAACACAGAGTATCCTAATCCTGTGTCTGGAATCACAGCACAGATAAGGCACTTTGTTAAAACCCCTAAAATGACACATGCACTGGGATGCCATTACTTAGTCTAGGTTTTTGCTCATGTATCTTAACAGCAGGTCTGGTTAGGTAAAAGGAAATATTGTAGATACTAGTGGCAGCCCTAGTCAGTAGGCAGCACATCAGTAGTGTCAGAGCAGGAAGGGACAGAGTAGCTTGAGGCCTGTAGCTCACTCACAATGTGAACACTTGCTCATTTAAATGCATATCCTTTAACCTCTATATATGCCTAAGCATCCATTTCATCTCTGAGGGTTTTCTGTGGTTTGAAAACAGAACACTAACTTGATCTTTTCTTTTTTTTTTCCATTTTTTACACTATAAAAGGCTTGGCTTTCGACCAGAAATACCCTTCAGCACGTTACTGGCTCATCTCTGTCCAGAGAATGCATGCGAAGGGATGGGAAGAAAGAAGGTGGCTTAAACAGAAACAGATTTTCTAATGGTTTTGTTTCCATTTAGGCCTCCTGCGTCCACAGTTACCGCAGTTAACTCTTTTCCGTTTTCTTTGTTGTGAAACAGTGTTGATGCATTTTACATGTTCAAACCTGAACAAATCCAAAACAAAACAATGTAACATTACCCCATATCCAAAATTACCTCTATAAAACTTTTTGCTTAAATTTAATTCACTAATAATCATAACTTATAATACTAGTAATTGTTTTATTCTCAGTTCAATATTTTTATGTTTATTTTTCTTATATATGTTTCTACTCTATCCCTGTTTTCTAATTTTTATTCTCTTTGCTGTCGTGTAATTCACTTTGGATCTTTTTTATGCAGTCGGCAAGGTTCAAGAGAGTGCTGGACTGTTCTGTGGATTTCTATTTATTTTGTCACTTGTAATCCAATCAAATAGTCTGCGCAGATAGTGCCTAACGTGGACATGCCATTTTATGTGATGAAGACGCATATGCCAAGTACATTCCCTTTATTGAACATAAATCCACTTGTGCTTCTGCAAGAAGAGGAAAAGAAGAAGACAGACAAGACAATGACCAAAGGGCACTGCTTGCAGACCTTGGGGGAGACTCCTTGTACACCTCTTCTTTGCTACAATGAAAAAGTAACATCTCCTACTTCAGTCAAACACACAATACACTATGCCAAAACATATTATGTTATCATGTTCTGTGTAGTACATTTCAATAGTCTGTAGTAATTTAAAAAAACTCATTCTGGCTTGGGCCTTCTGAACCTACAGTAGAGCGATTGATCTTTTATCTTAAAAGGGGGAAACGTCTAGTAAATCCTCATTTCAGTTTCACCCTGGTAATTTCTCTTACAAAACTAGCAAGCCAGGCAGGAGGGACGATAATAGCACAAGCCGGTATTTATTCAGAATGTATTTCCTTAAACAGACAGTAAAGGGAGATTCCTAACTTAATTCGACTTAACTGTATACGGTGCTCTTCAGAGAACCTACCATGAGAAGGTCAGGGCTATTTGTGTTACACACAGTACTCAAAGTATGAATTGTGGCCAAAACATACTTTGAATAGGAAACCAAAGTTTTGTGGGAGTGTGATTGATATAGTCACTGTCTGGGAAAGAGTTAATAAGGGAGAACCACCAGATTGGTGTCCCCTTAAAGGATATGATTGACAAAGAGATAGCAAAGGATCCTAATAGTTCCTCAAATTCAAATTTGGAACTGCTGTTAGATCAACTAAAAGCAGAGAAGGGTAAGAAAAAGCCTCTGAAATATTCAGGAATTAATGGACTGTGACAGTGTGTTGGCACAGGACCAGAAAGACAAGTTAAAAATGACTGCTGAGGAGAAAGTCAGTGTTCTGACAATTCATACTTGGAACAACAAGACCAGTTTCTGACTTCTGCAATTACTGTTGCATCAGCAATGACCTTCAATTCCCCAAAACAGAGATCTGAGAATGAGAGTCTGAGGGCAGAGAATATTGGGTTACAGCACAAGCTGTCTGATGCGAACACCATCTCAGAACATGGCCCGAGCACCACCTTCAACTCAGGCAACCACAGCAAATGTGAACAAGAAGCTGAGACATTAATGTCTAAATCAAGAATAAAGCAGGTCATGATATCAGTCATAAAAAGGTCTTGATCTGACGAGAATTATGAGGACCATTACTAAATTAACTGGGATGATCTTGATTCTAAGGCTTGAATCTAAGGCTTGAGAAATGGGAGACTGAGAAAGAGGCTTCAACAGACTGAGAAAGTAGGGTTTCAACAAGAAGAACGTTAAAATTCGTTTTACAAAAAGCAGCTGAAATTTTAAAGGAGGCAAAATCTGACACTCGCAGTGAACAGTCTCAAAGACTTGTATTAATGCTTTCGAAATGAGAGCACTCAAGGATGATTTAGGCCCCATTAATTTAAATACCGATATAGAAAAACTCTGCAATCGGCTCATTGCTCAAAGTCAAATATACTGCATGCACATCTAAATGAAACCAACTGGAAATCAGTGTAGTGTTAGGACCTTGTTCTCCCAAACTAAGAGCTTTATTAAACACTACTGAAGTAAACAGGGCTGATAACTGGTCTGATATTTTAGAGCTCACCAGTGATGCGTGTCGTTGGTCAGGAAGGAGGGAAGCAGATTGGGGAGAGTGGGGAAGTCCAAAGGAAAGGTGAACATGTAAGATGCTCCAGAAACCTGATCACACCAATTGGAAAGTGGATACTAGGATGATAATGATGAAAAGTTTAGGAAAACTTTCATGGTTTGCATCCAAATCTTAAGGTGATTCTTGGATTAAAAATGGACTTTTCTGAGGAATGGGACAGGTTATTCCCTGAGGTTTAAGAAACTGCTAAAAGACGGCACATGGAAAAACACTACAATTGAAATTGAAAGGGGAAACAGAGAAAGAAATAATAGGCAAATTGTTTGTAGATGAAGGGCCTTTCAATTTTTCAGCAGATCAAAACATTTTGTAAGATCAAAAGATCTTTCAACAGAAAGATCAGCCTCCTGAAAATTGGCAAAATCACCCATATAATCCACAATGGAGACAACATACTACAACAATGGTTTTGAGCAGGGACAGGGTCAGAGCTGGGGTTGGGATGGCTGTCAGAACCACAATTAATAAATCAGGCAGGCAAACTAAAGACAGGAGTCTGAGCGCACTCCAAAAGTCACAACTCAGGCAGACCAAGGCCAATATCCTCAGACCGAACTAAAGTGGTAATTAAAAGACATTTTTACTCATTCTGGCTTGGGTCTGCGTCCTTTCTTTTAAACCTACAGTATAGAAATAATATCTCTGACACCACCTACTCCTAAATCTTTTTCCGGGAGACAACCTTTCCAACTTCTTTTTCGCATTTTTCCCCACTGCAAGAATGAGAAAATCCTCTCAAAGTTATGTATTTTCTATTATTTCTCTCAATTAAAATATAAGCCTTCTTTTCTAAGTAAAAATATATTTTTAAAGTCTGAGTAGGGGGCTGCATCAGCCTGCGTAGGCTGTGAAGGAACAGGTAAAGGTTTATTCCACGCTGAAAGGAAAAGAAAAGAGAACATTTTGTGTTTCGACTGTGGAGCCTTCTACAGGGGTCACCATTTCACAGCAGAAACGTTGTGTCTCTTTTCCTTTCAGCATGGAAAAAACCTATATCTTTTTAAAAAGCAGACAACACACACTATTGTTATGTTTCATATGAAATCTGTCTTTGAAAATATAACGTTCTTTTGGTTCACATACAGTAAGTGGGTCCTCCTCAAGTCACTATATCTCCTGTACAGAAGTTTGACATCGCCTTCCAGTCTGTAATGCTGGGACTGAAAGAAGATTTCCATAAAGAGACATACAATGACCTACAAATAAAACACAAATTGCAGAATTCCTATGACAGCGCCCAAAAATAGACAACAGAAATATTTGGAAACGAAACAAGATTGCTGCTTACTGTATGTATGTAATGTTTAATCCAAATTTAATTCAGAAACTCAGTGTCACAGACAAAAAAGGAAGGCAGTTTGCAAATCCTTCTCACAACGCTGGGTGCAAGAGACAAATAAAGCTGGTCACAATTCAAAGCAGATCATGTCCAACACAGAGACACATGTACGAAGAAAAAAAAAACACTACAAGATTCTCTTTGTAATGTTAAGCAAATGGAAAAGGAAATCTTGAATAAGGAGTTTGTGGTTCTGGTTATGAAGGATGTCTGCCTTGAAGAAGCCACCCAGGGTTTTCTAGGCTGATGGGACTTTGCTTCAGGCGCAGACCCAGATGTGTAGGAAACCGACAGTTAGTTCTCTTCCTCAGGGTGAAGATTCCAAAATCAACAAGAGAAATGAAGGGAGAAGAAAAAGGAGAGAGAATAAAACTTCAGAGCTGTGCTCACCATGTTTTTTTCAACAGAACACCAGCTTCTCTTAACCCACTACTTGTAAGACACAACAGTAAAGCAGCAAAATAGACTGTCAGACATAAAATGACCAAGAAGAACACACTAAAGATATGACTTGCTTGAACGGTTGCAAAACCCGAATAACAAGCAAACCGGAAAGAAAACAATGTTAAAATTGACAATGCTTTCAGTGCTAATGTACTTGAGAATGGTCACATGAGAACTGTTCTCTAAGTCCACTTAAGTCTCACTGTAATATTTTCTCATTCATTTGGTTTTCAAAACTGTTCTGCTATGGTTATGCTGTCTAGTGTTCACATTCACGACAAAGGATACTGAGTTCCACACTTACTTGAACCTATGCTTTCTCTTTTTGTCAGAAAAACACATGGCTCTGCAGCGTGCTGAATTATCAGTGTCTTCAAACAATATTTTTGTCGGTATAAATATATAGAGGTAAATAGGGTCCAGGATTAAATAACACAATGTTTTGTAGTATCTTGAAATACTGTAAAGAGCAGAGAATTCTTGACTAAGCCTGGACTGGCTGTTAAAGCATTGCCACATGATTGTAATGATGAGTATTATAAGAGAATAAACATATCACGTTGAAAGATTTAAAATCCTAGCAAAATATAACGTTTAATTATGATGCGACAAAAACTTAATAAGAAAAAATGACATTCAATAGTTTGAAAATAGAAATCATGGCTCATGAATCAATTGGTAATTACTAAAATCAACCGATGTTGGGAATACATACTGTTTTCTCATACTTAAGTTATAAACCGAAATGATTGTTTTCTTTGAGACTTCTTTAATCAAAAGTAAACTAATAACGTATCTATTGAATTGTTCGAGTCGACCGATTAAATCGTTAAAAAGGACCATCAAAGCCTACATTGTGAGTCATCGCGCCCTCTAGTGGCCTGTGTGTTGTGTGTTTACAATTTTTAAGTTTTAATGGATTTTCTAAAGTTTAGCATTCAGACAAATTGTCAAACTGGGTTCATCCCCGCCTCCCGTGTTGCCCAAAATCAAACTTGAAATCAACAGAACACGATCCTTAACCCACGAGTTCCTGAAAGGAATTATTTCGCCTTCTTTCCTTGTATCTTTAAAAAGAAAAAAAAAACCTTCCTACCTCCTCCTCCGGTAAACAGTAAAGCACAACTTCATTCAGCTTCACTCGGCAGGGTTAGGGGGAACCGAAGCAAACGGGAGCATGGCGGAAATTCGGGCAGACTTGTTCGCTTCTTTCCAGGCAACGTAAGGCGAGGTGCAGTGCGGACCGTATTTTAGTTGTTTATTATATAACCTTGTATAAGGGTTCAACTATTAATAAAAAGACAAGAAAAGGCAGCGCACACTCTGAGGCGGCCGATACCTTTCGCACTTTCAGAAGTAAAGATGCGTTTTCACCCTGGATTGTGCTGGGTCCTCGTGAATGCGCTCCTGCGGTGTGTCTCCTCCAGAGCAGCCCAGAGTGGGACAGGGCATTGCCAGCCGCCCAAGTCGGTAAGTTACCTGTCGGACCTGATGCTCACTGCCGGACCAGTGCTGCGGCACCCACACTTGATTTCTGACGAGACAGCCTGCCTTGCGCTGTATCCCCATCTCACGGGGGAGAACGTATTTATTTTTAAAATACACGTTGTGCGCCTCTCAGCAAAGTTTTCATAGAAGCACGTCTTTCTAAAACAAATCGTTTTTGATTTGGGGGAAAAAAAGACAAATTGGGGAAACCCCACAGCAGTGGTCGCCGACCACTTTACATTTTTTTTACTGACCTGTTAAAATTATTATGAAAGGAAACCTTTGGCATTCTGAATTGGAATTGGCTTAAACTGACTATGTGTTGGAAAAATCTGGGAGGACAGACAGGAACAACAATAATTGAAATTTAAAATAACTGTCAAGAACAGAATTATGTATTTTGTTCACTAGATACATTATTCAGTCAGGAAATATCGCTGTGTCATGGGTTTAAGTTAAAATTATCTCGTTTTCACCGCCGTTTTCAAGACGTAAGCACAATTTTACTATAGGAAATGTGAAAAGAAAACATTATTTTGACTATTTTCTTAGTTATTAGATGAACTAAGCGTATCAATAACTGATACAGTAAAATACGGACTGTTATCTGTTAAACTTTATAAGAACGTTTTGAAGATCTGAGACTGAGCGTCGGTGGCTGATTAATTGAGTAATTAATACTAATAATAACCTCCTCAAAACCTGCATTGCTGATAATAGGAAATGAAATGCTGAGTTCTTCATTACACAAGTGCTTCCTACTTACTTTCGATTGAACACCAATAATTGTAGAAGTTGTTCATGTCCACTGCGGTCACAGTACAAGGGAAATAACTAAATTAAATCGGGAAGTACATTTTATTTCTTGTTCTCGTAATAATTTGTTTAACACAGATATGCTTTATATACGCACATTTTATTTCACCGCGCTTACATCTATGCTTGCTTGCGGCTTCAATTAGAATTCTTTCTTTAATAGTGACAAACCCAAATTTCGACCCCAGAGGAAGAGATTGTTTTGCCCGCTTTTGACGCACACTTGAACTTCTCTTATGACAACATTGACGAAACGTCGAAAATTTAAACTAGAAGTGCACGACCAATTACAGCTACACTGCCAGGCTTGCAGTATTTTACCCTATAGGCAGATACTAAATGAACTTCAGATCAGTCTTTTTAATAGAGTGTCAGAAATTTACAAACTCAAAACCACGAGCAAATCTATTGAAAGAAGCATTTGTTTAAACACTGATTACAACACTTTTGTTGAAACGAAAACAAAAGTACATTAAGTGAATTTATTATACAGTACATTAGACTCATAGCGTGTTTGTTTATCGATTTTTGTTACCTTGTTTTGTATTAAGGGTATATCAATTTCGGAAACAGAAAGGTACAACATAAGCTGCTAAATTTAACTCCATCTACGACTGAACTATAGTTGTAGTAATGTTGTAATAACCTACACGGGGGCTGTTCATATACTGTATGTCTTCAGTATTTTTAGTTTAGCAAAATAAAACGGGATTCTGTCATATCCACTTTAAATGCTTATTCATGAAGACGTACAAACAGAACACAACTTGTTCCGATTTGCAGACAAATTAGATAGCAAAATTTAACATAGGGCAAAATTGCGAAACTAATTTAGAGAAGAAATGCAAAACAAAGGTGGGGATTGAGTGCCGAAACATGAACGATGCTCTCTGCGTCGATTGTCCTACAGGAAATTCTCTTTTGCACGTCGGGCCTACAGCATGACTATGGTGCGGGCTATTTCTGGGTTTATTGCCTCACGTCAGTTAATTTCAGCAGTTTAAATCACACCCAGAACATTCAGTGAAAAAAAGTGCAGGTTAATTCCACACAAAGAGTAGAACAGACATCCTTTTCAGGTGTCTCAGACCTGATTAAGGCCACACAACCGAAATGATCCGTATTGTAACTGTACCAGTTTCTTTGTAGACGACACGATGCTGCACCTCTTAACAATTAACACTTCCGTCGTTAAATTCCATGTTTCAATTTTTATTTAGCGACCTAGATTTGACCCACGGACTATAAACATATCAGGTGTTTTAGTGACATAACTGCATATCAGCCCTAAAATCTTAGAATTGACTTTTTTCATTACATTCGGTGCTTATTGTAATAATGTCTTAATGTCCATATCCACTTGCTTCCCTTTTGAACTGTAGCTACAGTACAGTTCAGTACAATTCAAATTGTTGAATTGTCACACTCCCCAGTTAACAGAGGTACAGTACGAAAGCGAAATTCTTCACGTTCCGTTTTGCACATGTGGAAATATCAGTTCTCATTGTTCTTAAGAGTATTATGCCGAGTATTGCTGATCATCTGTTGGACCGGTCTCTGAATTGGATATCAACTATTTAAAACAGGACCATTTGAAATAAGCTATAAAGAGCTATTTATAGACTTTGTACTATGTCCAAGTTTTAAAAAACCCATCTACTCGGGTTTTTTTGCCAGCATCGTTTACCAACCTTTTTATTAAAAAATGAACACTTTTACCCTTGAAAGTTGGGACCTTTTTGTCTACGCTCGCCTTATAATGATTAAATATCGTGCTTACTCATACTGAGTAGGTTTGTCCAGTAAATATGAAGCCAATAACAATGAGGCTGTCATGCTCAATGCTACAGAATGTAGTACAGTATGTTGCCCTTTGTATATCACAACCAGAGTATACACATTCTATTCTACAGCAGATTATATAACAATGTTCTATACTCCCTCTATATATACAATCGATTCAAATTTTAAATATCCTTAAATTGATTGACTAAGTTTACACTTAAATTACAAAGGAAGAAAAACTAATTTCCTATAGGTACATTATCGATGTATTTTGTTAACCGAAACAAAAGTATAACACGGAACGTTATTTTTTCGAGGATATATTTCAGGGACAGGACGTTGGAACAAGCACACGTATTGTATAACTGTTTTCACTGACGTGGTACCGTTAGTCTTTCCCTGCCAAGCCCCGACACAGCCCCGTCAGTGTCCCGTTTGTGTCACAACCCAGATGACCGACTCAATTGCAAAGCAGTAGTAGATATCGCGACTTCATACGCAAAAAAAAAGTTCGTGTGCTATCAGCTTTTAGGGATGTGATATTAGCTTGGAAACGTAATGCTATTACAATTACTGAAAAAATAAATGACATACTGTAGACTTTTTCTGAGGGTGTCAGTTACCAATTTGCAATCGAGTCAGAAACCATATGAAGTCACTCAGAACACATACTGTAATATTACGTAGGAGTGTACGTCATATTTCATGACTATTCCTTTTACTGTATATCATTTTTTCGTAATGTTTTGTTGATATAGAAATATGCCTTTCATTGCAAGGCAGTTTCAACAATTTATGGCACTACTGCGTGCGATCCAAGCAGCAATATGTGGTGCGTACTTTGTGTAGCTTTATCAAGGTAACAATTTCGGCAGGTTATAAAAATGAAATGTCTTCTTTTGAAATAGGCCTTTTTATTTTAAACAAACATGGAAGAACTGTAAAAAGGAAAAAACATTCTGTCCATCTTACAAGTTTAGAGCCAAAGCTACAGTAGCAGCTACAGTATTGATCTGAGGATCTCAGCCAGCTGTCTGATTGACTTTGTCCCTGCTTTTGAAAATTTTAAATGTTCTTTGTAACCTTTGCTTTTCCAAGACAAAATCCATTAAAGGGTGTAAGACTGTACTTTAAGCCTGTAAATATACAGTGTGCATAGCCGCTATTCTACAGTATGTACTCCTGAGTATCTTATTTGTCATTTGGTGACCATATTCTATGTAAGAAAACTAGAAAAATTCATCCCTATAAGCTCTATACTGTACAGTAGCTACAGTAAGTGAAAACACCCAGTTTTTGTGCCTGAAACTCCTGGCTGGGAATCTAGTTCAAGTTAACTTTGTGTAAGGGATATTTCCTTGTATCTGTTCTAAAGAAATTCCATTTTAGTTTCCAATTGTGTTCCTGTGTTCTTTTTTTGTAAACTGAGTGTAAAAGAATGAATTAACTTTCTTTTCCCTGAGGATTTCACAATTGCATCTTATACTTATACCCTTATACTCTTTCTAAGGGTGTAATATAATTTTTGTGGAATTGTGACTAAAACTGAATACTTCATTATTAATGAGGTATTTATAATGCAGTGTACAATTTTAACAAAATTATTTATGACTGAAATTTAATGCTTTCAAATAGATATCCTTACATTTTGTTAATTTGTCTTTGTAATGTTGTCTGGAAGAAGAATTATGTCAAAATGAGCACATATTAATCTCTTTTGTGTTTCCTATAATTCCTTCTGTCTGCACTTACTGTATCTACAATATGTCATTTATTGAATTTACTTTGCTGCCTCTACAGACTTTGCTGCCCTTTCAATTTTTGTATCCTTTCTGTGTTTTCATCTGTTTTGTATTGCTTACTGTGTATGTTCTGCTTGGTTTCATTCATGCTTCTCTCACATTTCATAATACTTTATCGGAATAATTCAGTGTTCAAGACAGACACCCAGAATTGTGATTCTCTTCCAGGATGGGTACATGTGAATAAACCATTATGGCAAAAGATTTCTATTTTCTGGCAGGGTTTGTTTTCTGGTCCATTTTTGAAAGGTTTCATAGTGGGCATTTTCGTTTGAAAAGCTGTAACGGTAAAGAAGAAATTTAAGCACAGAAAACATACTTGACAAAACATGGAGTATAAGGAATCAAATAAGCCGTGGATTAAATATAGTAAGGAATTTTTTCAAAGCAAATGTTATTTGTTTTTCCGTTATTATTCACCCCAAAGAAAAACACATTCTTCTGTTACTTTCACTTAATGGTGCTGATAAACTGAAGTTTGTAGGGGGGACCAAATTGTAATATTGCACTGGACACTCTTTCCTCACTATTAGTGCAGCAAATACAGCAATTAGAATTTGACCAGACTATTGAAAAGGATTGAATAGTCTGTATCTTCTTGGAGTTTGGAAATACTAGTAACTGTCTGCTCTCAGTTGTATAAATAAGGGTAATTAAATAATTGTTGCCCAGAGTTAATCGTGCTAATACCCCTCCACAGTTCTCAAGGTTGTCACAAAGAGTCCAGACTTCCATCTTCATATTTCCAGGTGGTCATCCTTCAAACCACGCAGGTTAGAGGACAGCCAAATGCTCGGTTGTCTGCAGTTGCTGTATGTTCTTGTGATTTAGCTGCCCTCCAAATTCCGGTCTTTTTTCCTTTCAGGAAAGCGACATGAACTCGTTCCTCTGGAAAATCAAGAGAGATCCCCCTTCCTTCCTTTTCGGGACGATCCACGTGCCTTACACCCGCGTCTGGGACTTCATCCCGGAGAACTCCAAGGCGGCTTTCCAGCAGAGCAGCAACGTGTTCTTCGAGCTCGACCTCACCGACCCCTACACCATCTCCGCCCTCACCAGCTGCCAGCTGCTGCCCCAGGGCGAGAACCTCCAGACGCTGCTGCCCCGCGACCTCTACCGCCGGCTCAAGCGGCACCTGGACTACGTCAAGCACATGATGGCCCACTGGGTCACCCCCGACCAGCGCGGGAAGGGGCTCTACGCCGACTACCTCTTCAACGCCATCGCCGGGAACTGGGAGCGCAAGCGCCCGGTGTGGGTGATGCTGATGGTGAACTCGCTGACCGAGTCGGACGTGCGCTCCCGCGGGGTGCCCGTGCTGGATCTGTACCTGGCCCAGGAGGCAGAGCGACTGCGCAAGAGGACGGGCGCTGTGGAGAAAGTAGAGGAGCAGTGCCACCCTCTCAACGGCCTCAATTTCTCCCAGGTAGGGACGGCCGGAGCCCCGTGAAGGGAAATGGGCCGATTTCCCCTCAGCCCGTGAATGAGCCTCAGTGGACTCTACTAGTTTCCCTACTAGTTCGAGCACTTCGGGCGGTTTATAACGGTGTTTCGTGTTTATGTTGGGGGGTTTCCTTCCTTTCGGAAAAAGAAACCAGCGGGGGAAAAAGACAAGTGAAATTAAAGACTTGGTCCGGAAGTGGAGGCACTGACCGGGACTGTTAAGGAGTAGAAACACGCTAATAAAGACATTGCTGGTGCCCTAGTGAGGAGAGTCCTGCAGCAGGGGAAAGTGAAGAAGAGGAAACTCTGTGGGTATAATAGCTAGGCAGTGCTTTGCTTTGGTATTGACTGTGATCAGAATTAAAAGAACAAAGATCTTACAGCCCAAAGTAATACAATATCAAAGAAAGAGCTACGTAATTGTATATACAGTATTAAGAGCTACGTAATTGTATATACAGTATTAAACATTTAATATAGAAATACTGTATATACAAAAGCCTCCTTTGTTTTTTTCTGCATGTATAACAACTTTTGTTATGAATACAGCTTAGTTAGGTGAGAAAACATAGTTAGGTTCTTTACCGCAATCTTTACCTCATATTGACCTTCAACTTCTTGATCACAACAGCTCAGGGAAAATCATGTATGAGTAGCCAGCAACTTAAAACAAAATGTCTAAAATGTACCACTGAACCGTGATACTGCTTAAAGAAGGAAAACCATTAAGTGAAAAGTGTAAAACAAAGCAAAATGCCTGACTTTTGCGTGACAAAGTATAGCTTTCAGGATCAGAATCAGCCTTTGGGTATATGGAGGTTTTGTTTTGAGGCACAGCAGTGCTGTCAGGGCGGTCTGTGTGAAGGAATCCATCACACATCTGTCAGCAAGCTGATTGGCTACATGACATTATCTCATACTTGGTATACAATACGGTTCCTACTCAGTCAGTAACCTGAGATTCTGTCACAGCCAAAATAGTTTGCTTACCGATGACATAACATCAAGACATTTCATTTTCTGGGGTTGTAGGGTGATATAGAGTTTGAAACAAGAGGTCTTTAGAAGTTGTTTAAGTGATGTCAACTACAGGAAAACGGCTCAATTTAAAGCCAGTGCTGTAATGTAGGAGTTGGCAACCTTGGCACTTTCATTACATTCCTTTGCAAGTCAGGCTCCTTATTTATAGGCGATCTTCAACAGCACAGTCATAGTACATTAAGTAAATAAAATACTTGCTTGATTGAAGTCCTGAAATGGAATGGAATCCCTGATCTAATGAATTTGTAATACAGCGTTGTATAATCTTCTGTCCTCATGAGAAATTCCTCAGTGGGAGTAGACTCCCGCTGATCAGAGCTTGACTGCAGTTCTGTTGGAGAGTGTTAACATGACATCCAGGCTATTCACGATTTCAGGAGAGCATTGTGACAGGGTCACTAAATTCACACATCTCTGAGGCACTATTGTTTAAACATCAACTTCACACTGAGCTGTCAGTATCATAAGAGCCTGTCTAAGCAGTCCCTCCCACATAACCCCAAAGCACTGAAGAGGGGCCCGCAGTAGAGAACAAGCTATTGAATTTTTCATGTTTAAGGACATTATGCTCTTTAACTATATTGTTATTTTGCAAATTAGGTTTTATAGATATGTTCAATTAAATTTAGATTAATACATCCTAATTAGACCCATTGTGCAAATGAACAGATCACATTTAAGATCAAGCTGTGCATAGAACCAACAGTAGCCTCAGTCCCACTCAGCTCCTTGTCTTGCCTGGCTGTCACAGTGTGACAAACCACGATGCTGGTCTCTTCATGAGTCTTTTTCTCCTCTAAAGACTGTTTTTTTTCACACTGGTGAGCACAAAGGACCCTAACAGACCTTGTGTCCTGTACATTAGTTACTTAGTAATACTAGCAGGACAAGTTTCTTCTCCCCAGTGGAATTGTTTCTTCATGTACCTGCAGTTAAAAATTCCACTACGCTTTCATGCCAATACTAGAATAATTATTTTTCAGCTGCTTAAGAAGGGGCAGGAGCAAAAAGTCTTGAGAATCACACTGCTAATGGCTTAATTGCAGTCAAAGATTACTTAATTAATTGCTGGAGTGTTGGAGTAAGGACTTACAGTGAAAGGGGAAGGAGAGACCCCAGTAATGACAGTAATCCATTGCAGTTCGTAAGCATGCAGCTCCAGCTACTCTCAAGAGCGTGCTCTGCCCCTCCAGTCACACATCCTGGCATGTTGTTTCAGGGCTGCCTGGAGCTGCTGTGCGGTAACAAAATCTGGATATCCTGCTGCCCGCAATAAAGTTGTGCTAATTGGAGAGATTTCCCTTGGCAACCTTTCTCTTTCATCAGCACCTCTTAACTACACTGTCAAGACAGGCTTGTCACACACGTAGTGAGCCACTTAAAATTCACTTTCAGACCAGTAGGCATCTCAGCCAGTACAGTGCAATTCTATACGCAAAGGGCATTCTCCATATAGAAACGTTTGACTGGTTTTCTCTCCTTTTATCCCCAGTGTTTCAGTAATGTACACCGTATTGTAAGGATCTTTAGCTGAGTGCATGTATTGTATGCTGAAGTAAAATTCTATATGGAGATAGCAAGGGTTTTTAAATGCGGTCCGTTTGCTCAAACCACCAGACTGAGTCAGTTACAGCTTTATGAATCCTCTTTTTATATAAACACAAGCTGGCACATTGCGCCACTGTGTCTTAGCTGCTTTTCCCTATGTCTTGTCAAACTGATCGTGGCATTTCCAAATGTCAGCAGAACAGTTTTAGATATTTTCCTTTTAAATTGGCTTCATAACTCTGCTCTCCTCCCCACTGATAGCTGATGTGTGGTGAGCGTTCTGGCGCACTATGGCTGCCGTCGCATCATCCAGGTGGATGCTGCACATTGGTGGTGGTGGAGGGGAGTCCCCATTACCTGTAAAGCGCTTTCAGTGGAGTGTCCAGAAAAGCGCTATATAAGTGTAAGCAATTATTATTATTATAATTAAACAGATTCATCTGAGCTCAACTGCATGGTCTCATATAACAAAATGTGGATGTTCAGTTTTCCCATGTATGAGGAATCCCTTCTGAGGCTAGGAATATTCTCCAGCAGGTTTTGATGCTACTGTAACTTACAAGTTCATCTGCTGTTGCCTGTGTGAGAATTATGCTGAAAATGATAAACAAATCATATTTATTTAAACTGCCATCTTTAACCCACATCCCAGTGGTGCATTCTGGTGCCCTGTATTCTTAAAGTACTTTCGTCCAAAGACTTTCTGTTAACTGTCGAATAACTTTAGGAAGGCTAGAGTTGGTACCAATGTTTAATTATTGGAGGTTCGACCTGAAGCCACACTAAATGAAGTATAAATAGGGGTAACAGATGCTCGTTTCCGAATGTTCATTGGTTGGCATCCCCCCCTGTCAGACTCTGTAGCAGCTCTTTGACTCTTTGGTAGTGATTGTGATAGCCTTATCCATGTGGCCAGGCAGTTGTTCCCTCAAGCAAGCAGGTTTATGCCAAATCTGTATCTCTGTTTACTCTGAGAACTGATTTCTGCTCTTCCCCGTATCCAACATACTGTATAACGCCTAAATAAATAATAACTGCCAAACCCACTGTGCCAAAAGACACAACTTGTGACATGGGAGGTTTTAAGTTTGTTAAATATATTAAAGTAAAAAGTTCCAGTCGCCTGAAATCAGCTTGAAGCTCTTTGCCTTGTCATTTTCTTGGTATCTGTGTTGTTTCAGCTTGAATCGGTTACAGTGGCTTGTGTATCTGAGAATGTTATAAGGGAGGGTGTGTACAGATAGAGGAGACACCGAAAGGCCTTAACTAGAATTTGGGCCAGTATGCAAGCTCATTTGTTTTCTAAAGAGAAGACAAACGCTGAATAAACGCGAGACTGACAGTTCTAGAAAAGGCTGGTGGTTTGTTTAAACATTGTCGTTTGATGGCATCAATCTTAACTATCAGCAATTGAAACTGGTTAAGTATGGCTAAAGTTTTTATGTGCTAGTACCAGTGAACTTTGTCTGGACTGGCATGGGCTGGGAACCTACAGATCAATGCATTGATATTACTGTATACCAGATTTAAACTAGTCAGGCCATCCCTCTACCAAAACTTATCTTGAGATGTTGCTTTTGGTAAAGATGCTGTACAAAGGGTCGTAGCCGTGGCAAGTTGGAACTAATGAATCTTTACTGAGGATCACGTCTTGAATGTTATTTACAGTAGTAGCTCTTAAGTCTTGTAATTTGAGTTATTTTTATCTCCTCTGACTGAGGCAATTGTACAATATTGATACTTTTATTGGTGTTTTATTCAAAAGACATGTAAGGACTCCCATCAGCACTGACGGGCATGGAGAAAGGTAAGTTAAGGTTTACTGCCTACTAATCAAAGAACAAATTATTTCACTTATTCAGTTATTGTGGTTCTGTTATGATCAGCCCACATATTACTTGTTCACAATAAAAAACAGCAGCTTACACTATCCTGTAATTAGCCTAGCAAGATTAACTTTAAATGTTTGTGATTCGTCTTTTACTCCTGAACTGTGAAAAATGCCGTAGTGCTTTGGAGTAGGATCCTTTCTAAGACACACTAACACTGTATATTCCTGTCAAAGAAAAGCACAAACTTCAATATTTCCCCCCATGTTTCACACTCCAATATTTTTCTGTAGCTTTGTTCTTATTTCTAAGGTTTGTGTTAGTTTGTGAATGCTTCGTACAGAATGGAAGTCCTGGTTAACAAAAATGCTGTACAGAAAAGCCTCCACTGGTGTATGTCATTCACATTCAAGCTCTTGTTCAGTGTGCCACTCATTGCTGAAACCAAATTAAATTAAAAGGTGTTTTTTCAAACAAGAGTGTGGATGTTTAATCTAGGGCTGCTGGAGAACAATCTGTCCTGACAGCTGGTGGGCTTGTTTACTGTGAAGTGTCTCTGACATTA